CACACACATACACACACACATACACACACACATACACAGACATACATACACACACATACACACACAGATAAGCACATATATGAGATATCGATAAACTTGCACAATGATAATGACCGATAGAGAGCATGGACAATGCTATTACAAGAAATAATCGTTTATATTAAAATTCTGACCTTTACAAAATAGATGAAAGAAAAAAGCCGAAAAAGTGATAAGAAAAAGTTGTCATTAATATTATCATGAATGATACAATAAATGCTATAACAATAGTAATTTTATGGTAGTACTATTCATTATATAATAATTCTATCGAATTATAATAATTACATAAGGGATTAGAGAAGATTAAACTTGTTTTACTTTTAATAAGTTAAAAAAAGAAATTTCAAATTTTTATTGAAATGTCTAATTTTTCAAATAATATGCAAAATGTCTGTTAATATTAAAAGAGTTGACAAATTGCGCACGTATCATTTTATAATTGATAGAATATTTGTATTGGTAAGCTGTTGTGGTGTATTTTCCTCAGCAGCTATTTTGGCAACAAATTCAACAACAACAACAAAAAAAAGAAAAGAGAAAAAGAGGACATTGTAGTGATTGAATCTTAAATGGAAGATTTGAGTCTGAAACCAAAAATTCGAATTGGTGCTGTAATTGCGAAGCAATGGACCATTAAGAAGAAATTGGGTGAAGGTAGCTGTGGGACCGTTTTCCTCTTGGCTAATATTTCAAATCCAAAGGTTAGATTTTATAGTTCTGAAAAACAAAAAACAAAAAACAAAAAGAAGGTTGGCAACGATGAAGAATTCAATATTTCTGAGATTATTCAAAAATATATTTTAAGCAATCACTAATAAAAACAGATACAGTAGGAAAATTCTAATGCATTTAAATTTAAATATTCAGGCTCATGCGGCAATGAAAGTGGAACCATTGATGATGAATAGTAATGATGAAATATTAAAAATGGAAGTGTTCGTGTTAAAAAAAATGCAAAAATCAAAACATGCTTGCCGATTGTTTTCTGCAGGTCGCACGACTACGTTTAATTATATGATAATGTCACTCCTTGGAAAGTAAGCATATATCAATTACTAATTGTGATAAACTTGATTAATGATTTTATTAGCAGAATTAATATTGCTATCTATTTGATGCTTTGTAGAAATTTAAGTGATTTACGATTTATGATGCCTTTGAAACGTTTTACGACATGTACAAGCTTAAGACTGGGCAAACAAGGATTACAAGTATGCTTTTTGGTTTATTTTTGATTTAAAAAAAAAAAAAGGCACTATCATATTCAACATTTTACCGGTGGAGATTTGACCTTTCGGTAATATTCTAAAATATTTTTCTCTTTCTCAGGTGATAATTTAAGTTTTTTTGAGATATGATGCTGCATTCTTACTTATTTTTTTGCTATTTCTTGAAATTAGTGATGGTAATAATAACAATTATGATTGTAATAATATAATAATGAGAATAATAGTCGTAGTTAAAATATGGCAATCATTACATTTACTTAACTAGCTATTGTGGACTTTCCAAAAACAGCATCTAAGAATTGTAATTGTTAGCCATCAAAGGCTAAAATCATTCGAATCTCACGTTTGTCTTCCATACTCATTCCTTTGATCCTGATTCATTCATTACTAAAATAATAAAATTGCTAAAGATAATTCATATTTTCTAGTTTTTATGACTGTGTCGTACCATTTACCATCTATTTCTCAGTAATCAAAGAAATGAGGAAATCAATGAGATAAACTGATCCTGAAAAACTGTTTATTTTGATTGTAATTTTTTCCGATTTTTAGAGCTTAAATGGATAATAATTTCAGCATTTCATCATAGGAATTTTCTAACTTCCTACTTATTCCTGCCTTCTGTCTCGTACTGTCTACGTGATGCCGTTCAATATTACCATCAACATATTTCAAAGTTCGATAATTTATCAACAAATTTTAGGCTTTAAAAGATTTGCACAGTGCTGGATTTATACATCGTGATGTAAAACCGCTCAATTTTTCTCTCGGATCAACACAATCTACAAAACGAGTTCTATTTTTATTTGATTTTGGCTTATCACGACAAATTTTTCTGCCAGTACAAGGAACAAATGAAATGAAACTTCGAGAACCACGAAAAAAAGTTCATAAGCTTTTTTTTCAAAAGCAAAAAAAAATTAAATTGAAAAGATCCCTTCCATATTTCACTAAACAATTTCTTAATGAAAATAACTTACTATTACCATTACTACTCAATCGTATATACATAAGCGTATGACTCATTTTGAAATAATTTGAAATTTATGATGCTAGTTCATATGCATCATTTCTTTTTTTTTTCCATATCAATTAGAAGAATTTTTTAGGTGACATTCAGAGGTACCGTTCGTTATTGTTCCCTTAATGTGCATCAGCACAAAGAACAGGGTCGACATGATGATCTGATATCATTGTTATATACTATCGTTGAGCTTATCACCGGTGAATTACCGTGGCGAGGATTGAATCGACGTGAATGTGCCATTCTTAAAGCAAGCGTACCAGATAAAAGGCTTTTCAATGTAAATATAAAATCGTAGATTAAGTGGCATTCTCATAAGTATGCACGTGTAATGCTCGTCAATCTTCTTCTAATAATAATAATAATTTCTAATACTTCTAATAATAATAATAATAATTAAATTTTCACGATAATAATTATAACAACAAGTAAATTTTCATGAATACATAATTATCTTTATTGTAACTTTACAAAAATCATTCCAAAATTCATTCCCTGCTTTTAGTAAAAAATAGAAAAGATTTTTTGAATAATTTGGATGGTTGCTAGAAAAAGAAGAACTGTTGCTGTATTATGTTAAAAAATAAAAACTTTTTATAGCAATGTCCTGGAAACTTTATAACAATTTATACATATCTGAAAGGACTTGAATATAACGATTTGCCGAATTATGAATTTATCGATAAAAAATTTGATGATATTTTATCAAGCAAAAAGTATGGATTTGAAAATAAAATTTACAAATAGATAAGATATAATTTTTTAATCCACTCTTTTTCATTCAATTTGCTTTGAAAAATAATAGAAAATTTAATTTGTGCAATAAATTATATGATGTGCTATTGAAACGAAGAGAAATTAAACTTGAAAATTTGAATTTGAAAATAATTTGAAAGTAAATAAAACTCTATTTTTCTTTCTTGTTTTCTTTTTGTAGTGTCAAAGATGAATCACCATATGATTGGGAAAGCGGTGGGCGTTATTTCGATGATGTAGCTGGTAAAGTAATGCCTAAAAGACGTCGAAATCCAGATGAACAAGTGGAAAAAGATTCGGTGTGCTATTTTTGTTTTTGTTTTTGTTTTTTCTTTCCACTGCTATGAATTTAAGCAAATTGGCTTTATTAATGACAATTCAGAATCTATCCCAGAAATAAGCCATAAAAATCTAGCAAACATAAGCACATAAATTAGTGATCGAATTTATTCCTTTGATTATAAAAATAAATTCTGACTTTTTCCTTACATGAGCAGTTGAGAAAGTAAAATTTGCAGTCATCAACAGTGAAAGAAGAAGTGCCATCAACGGAGGAAGGACCATCAACTGAAGGAGCTGATTCAGACATGTCAGGAGTGGATAAAGAAAATACTCTTGAAGATTTGCAAGAAATTAAATAAACTCATTTTTTTGTAACAACGAAGAAAAAAAAATGTTAAATGTAATATTTTAATTCCAGAAAAGAAACCTATTAAAATATTTTATATTCTATTATCATAAAATTCGAATAAATGAATTGTGATCAATTAAAAAAGTTTAACCGTCAACAGATATCATCCAATAGTATAAATTTTTCATCAAATTTAATAAGTAATAAATAACATATTGTAATATTAGAATTTATAATATTCCTAACTAATCGATTTGGAACATTCACACGTTATCAGTTTTTTTTTGACGATGAAATCAGGCTATGATAATGCAATCATTTTAACAAAAAAAAATCTCATTCGTTAACCTGTGAAAAAATAAAATTAAAAAAAAAATGAAAACTTCAACAAACATTTTTTTGCAAAAATAAAAAAAAAAAATCATCCATCTTATTGAGATAACAAACAACAGTTCAATTTGAATGGAGCAAAACGATATGCTGAAATATTGAATACTTTTATTGATTCGAATTTATTTAATATCCCATCAGTATTTTAGAGTCAGAATTAAATTTTACACAGTGATTCATGATATTCAAGAGATTGAAAGAGCTTTTGGATAGCAATCGAGTCAAACAATATATTAAATGAAGATTGAATTGAACTCGAATTTATATCATCAAAAAATTAATCTTTCAATGTTGAATTCAGGATGGGAAATATTAAGTTAACCTATCCAGTGATGAATTTGAGCTAATTAAAAAAAATAAAAAAAATTTGAGCAAAAAAAAAAATAAAAAAAAAATTTAAGCTAAAGCTAATTGATCCAATAAAATTGAGAATTCAATTTGTTGCAAAATGTCATTTTCAATAATTTTTAAATTTTGCGCTACGAAAGATGACAAAAATTTAATGCCTGAAAGAAAGTTAAGTAATTGAAAATGTTTACTGATTGAATTAGATTATTTTACTGTTAGAGAAATTCGTTGTTAATATTTGCATCAAAATATGTATGGCTCTAAATTTTGAGTGTTTTTAAAATTACAACTTCGAGAGAAATATCACTTCCACTTTGTTTAAACCATCGATTCATTAGTTTTTTTTTTGAAGTTATTTGATGTATTCACTGTAAATTGCAATAGATTAAACGATTTAAATGATTTATCTCCTTTCTTTTATTCTATCCTCGCTGATACTTTTCTTGTAAACATTGATAGTGATAAAAATTAAAGTATATCGATTATATTGGATCGATTTCTTCCGTTGAATAGTATAACCTCTATGATAAAAACGGTTAAATGATTGAGTCACTTATTATCATCGGACCGATATGAATGTGTATTGCAAGTAAAGAAGGATATGATAGATTGCAGATGTTATACAATACAGTAAACTGTCATCATTTTAATAAACAAAAAAAAAAAACTTTTTTTTAAAAATATCATTAAGTAAAAAGATATCAACAGGAATTTATATGTTACATATATTAAGTTACTTTTATTTTTGTATGATAGAATGATAGTGATAAAATATCATTATAGACATTAAAAAAAATACAATTTCTAATGCATTAATGAATCAGAATCATTCACAAGAAGTTGAATTCGAATAAGTTCCATAAGATTTCGAGTCAGAAGTATTGTATTACATATGATTAAGATCATTTTTTGCTTAATACAAGTGATTTCCCCAGTAAAATTATCTACGAGGCCATAAGGCCTCATTAATAAGACTATGCTTTAATACTTCCACACGGCCTAGAACTCATACATAACTTATTACATTTAGTGTTTTCTTGTGTCCATGCAACTATTATTTCTAATCTAATTTAGGAGCTAAAAATTCTTGGCAGATTCACAATGTCAAACAATTTGTAACCTAATAATAATGCTGTCATGGCCTGATGATACTATTATATTATGGCCTAGCAATAATATTTCTACGAATGCTCTACAAATAAAATAAAAGAAGCGAATTGCGAAATGCAAAAAAACCTCTTCGTAACTTAATCAAGTCAAGATCGTCACCATAATTTTTGTCTTGACCTCGCTCTTCTTCCAAATCTTACTCTTTTTTGCAACTGTATAAGTCACTCGTTGACCTTTCTTTCATCTATAAGTTCAATAAAAAATTATGTCTTAAATTGGCAAAATCATTTAACGTCAACTTGCAAGAAAAGCTTTTATTTGGTGAGACATTTTACTTCATTTTCTGCTTTCCTAAACTGTTGTACTTCTTCGTATGTAGAAGTGTTCAAAAACTGGACGTATACATAGAATGAACGTTTACGTGTTCGTAATTCATCTTTTAGCTATTGATAATGTAAAAAGAGAAAGAATAAGTTTAAATCCATTAAAGAAGAGGAACTTTTATTTTGCATTTCAGGAAATTTCTCCTGGGCAGTGATATCGTACCTTCTTTTTTCAAGACATTTCAAACAGAAAACATTCAAGCAATGTAATCGGAAGGGTTACGTGAAGATCACGTATACAATGCTTCCTCTAACATACCTCAACATTACCGAGGTGGTTTTTTTGGTTTGCTAAACGTAATGATTAACCCTCAACAGACAGAGAGAGAAAGAGGGAGAAAGAAAGAAAGAGAGAGGGAGAGAGAGAGGATAATGGAAGGCGCGAAGGTCACACATAAAGTGCAGCGGTTAGGTCATGTATGATGAACAGATGGATTCTGATGGCCTGTTGTTTTAGATCAGGGCATAGCTATGGGGAGGAAGTGTCGCACGCCATGATAAATGTCACCCATGTCGCACGATCATTCCTCACTTCATTACTTATCCGTCCCTTTGGACGATGAGTCATCGTTGGTAAAGGTCAACTGTGCCTTCAACCATCCATTCAAATGGTCCCCTGCAAGGAGAATATATGAATGTATGTATGTCAGTCAGTCATCCGACAACTACATATAAGATCGATCGAACAGCAGCAACACTGAATCTCGTATGCGTGTGGATGGGTATTGTGAAAGTCTTTGTCTGTATCACCGACACATACAGCAGTAAGCATGTCACCGACAATATAAATACAGGGGAATGCATTGATATTGTTGAGAGGAGAGGCAGAAGAGAATTTGTGATGCACTGACTCACATATACATCAGACAGAAAAACCAGACGGACGGACACATATACATGTACGCACACCTACTCAAATCGCTTCCGTGTTGCAGCAGCGGCAACGGCAGAGACGCAGTGCGGTGCTGCGGTAGACGCTCACACTGTTTACATCTCTTCCATATGTCCCTTGGCTGTGTGTATGTGTATGTGTATGTGTGTGTGTGTGTGCGTGTGTGTGTGTGTGTGTGTGTGTGTGTGTGTGTGTGTGTGTGTGTGTGTGGCAATGAGTGCATTGATGGATGACATATTGAAGTACTTTAGTGATCCGTTATTGATTATACATCGGGACATATCGGGCTACGGCACTCCTATCATTGTTTCATTTTTCAATCCTTTATGGTGGAAAATGTTGCGTTAATTAGCGTAAGAATTGTACTCGTATTTGACGTATTCCACTTATACATGACTGTCCACTTTATCAACTTCTCGTAACATTTCACGGTACTTCTTCATGTTTCGTTGTTTTTTCGAATTTATACGAATTACTTCAACAAAATTACGAAGAAAAACATTGAAGTATTCTCGAAGTGTTTTCTTGAAAACTGCTTCTTATTACATACGATTACTCTGTAATAGTGCTAAAATGAAAGATATGAGATATGGGTTGAGTCTTTAATACTTTATTATTACTTTTTCATTCTCCTTTTTCACTTCAAATTTAATTTATGCTCAAATTTTATTGCTGTATATAGTAGCTGCCAGCTCAGTGTTTTGTTTGTCGCTATATGTTGATGTAAAAGTAAATGCAAATATAAGTGTATTTAAATGATACCGGCATCCTGTTTACATCTGTTATCAGTGAAATTGAAATTGATGTTGTGCTGTCAGTTACACATTTATATTCCATTGTTCCATATACGTATAGCAATACACTTTTACATTTCTCCTTTCCGGCGTTCTGGCTACAGTTGCATATAAGTAACTTATCATCTGGTGCAATGCCCTCACATAATCTATCTCGTATCAAAATTGAAATATGTCATAGATTGGAATTATAAAATGTGTGAGAAAATGAAGAAAGTGGAAAGCGAGAGTAAATTTCTCATGAGAATTTTGAATCATTTCCAAAAAAGTATTCTGTCAGTTGATTTTGTCACTTTATCTTATTGTTTATAGGGTGCGTTTCGCTTATCATGCCATTTTTATAGCCTGAATAACATTTGTTAAACCTTATTTGATAAGAAAAGTTATCTACAACATATAACTGATACGTCTATATGTATGATAGATGCGGAATTAAAAAGAGATGCTAATATGGAAGAAGAAGTCTAAAATGCCGAAATGCAGAGAATGAACCTGTAATGGAGGAGAAGACTGAGGAACAGAAGTATTTTAACAAATAACAGAGGAAGGCAAAAACTGCGAAATATACTCGGAGTATATATTATTAAAATAACGATCGGAGATACGCTTTGTATTGGGCGGACCAAAGAGATTATTTTGTATTGCCTCATTTACAGTTGAAGTTTTCATTTCCCTTACGATCACTTTCATTCCATTTCTTTATTCTGACAAAGTCGATCTCCTTCTCTCTGTTTATCAATGACATTGGTTATTTGACTTGACCTCTCTAATCGATAAGTATTTTTTATGTCATTCGTTATGTTATTTGACCTAACCTTCTCAGTCGGCAAATAGTTTTCTTGTTGTACGACTTCATGTTAGTACTAAACATTTCACATTTGGAAGAAATGATATTCTCATTTTTTTTTGCATTACTGCCAAATTGAGATCTTTTAAATTATTTTCTCAAAAGCGAAATTTCAGATGATACTGTAATTGAAATTTTATTCCTGTTTTTTATTATAGATAATTTTTTAGCCACTTTTTCTACACAAATCCCATGTCTTATCTTTCTTTATGTACTTATAAAAATAGTGATAATGATTGCTTCTGCCGGTATTAATATTGTAATAATATAAGTGAAAATAATTCGAGGATGCGTCTCTTTATTCATTTCAATTACTCGCTTTTCATTTTACGCAATGTATCAATTCAAATGGAAAAAAGCTGTTGTTAAATGTTTTTAGAGGTTTAATAACAGTATAGTAAAATTGTACACGCACTTGAAATCAGAAAATCTTGCGCCGTTGGCAGCTCAACAAATGTGGCCTAGTGGAAGTGGTGGCGGTGTACGAAACTCGAACACTTCTACTGCAGTGTCTACTTCTGCATCCAGTGGCGCCAATGGTAGTTCAGCGACTGGTTCTGGCAATGGTGCTGCGACGGGATCTCAGCCATCATTCAGTGGTCAGTTAGATTGTGGATTCATTCAGTTATCTATGCAAATCTGTTCGAATAATGATTTATAATCCATAGTTTTATGAAAGAATGTATTATGCTGATTTATGCATCAGAATTGTATAACTCTTAATTATTAAAGTAAAAATCATTACAACATCAAATGGTCTAGCATTGGAATTGAAAATGTGATTTATTAGAATTCTGACATTTATTGAGTCATTTTAATTGATGAGTGGTATGCTTACTACGAGCCTGATGAGCTAAATGCATCGAGAAATTTTTGTTAATACTATTCAAGATATTTTAATGGTGCTATTATGATGATATTGTAAGGATTAAACGTATGATTTTTAGGGATACGGGTAAATGACCAGCGCGGAGGCGCGGGGAATCAGCTGCGATGGCTCGATCATCATCAAGCGCACCAATGGAGTCCACAAAGTGCACAGTGGGGACCACATGTCTCAGGCGGCCCAAATCCAGCCCATCCATGGCCACTAGCAGCTGCTACACAACAGGTAAACTTCTATTCGAGTTCAACAAATTATAAAAGAAATAGATCCATTATGTCTGAATTTCATGTAATGCCAGATCATGTTTAAAATTTATTCGTTGATCCTATCAAATAATTATTCGCATTAAAGCGTGGGACCTATCTTTAAATCGTGATTTTTCCCTGATGTTAGCACTTTTATATTTAACTCAAACAATACATGAATTGTTCACTACAGTGGGCAGGCACACCGTCGTCAAATACGGGGACAGGTTCTTCTACATATGCCGAACACGCAAAGAAAAATATGGTAGGACGTGGTGGACAAAGTCAGGTACAGGGACGATACGATCAACAACAGCAGCAATGGAATCAAGTAAAAGTAGATCAGGTGCTTTGGATGGACTTTTATTTCTCTAATTTTTTATTTCGCTTAGAAAGTTGCTTGCTATCTTGTATTATATCAGTAAAAATTCAGAAATTGTTTTGAAATAATAAGTAAATTGAAACACGTTCATTAATTATTTGGCATTTGTTGCAGCAGACTCCTTGGGATACGAGTAGTTTGACGGGCTTTAGTAGTGTACATGCTGCCAGTGATGCAAAATTATCAACAGCGGAATGGGGGTCAACCAGCGCACCGAAGACACGCTGGGCTCCACGTAAGAATCTTTGTTATCATTTTGAAGTTCCCTTATAACTTTTTTGTTTCCAGTTAATTCTGTCATCTTTGTAATCTCATTGATAAGGTCATAATTTCATTTATCAGATAAAACCAGAGGCACTCAACGAGAGATCTGTAATAATTGGTACGGAAACGTAGTGAGCATGTCAAGAAAAATTTAGCAGCCTTAGACGATGCTGGAGTTTATTACTGATTAAGGGCAAGTGATATGCTTTAAATCATTCTCTTGTAGCCACAACTCAGTGGTCTGTACATGCTGCAGCTACATCAACTGCTGCAGGCCCCGATTGGGCTACAGCTGCGGCAGTTGTAGCTGCTGCAGCTGCGGCACATCATCGTCACGATGCTGCAGCAGGACCATGGACTGGCACCACTATGGCAGCTCATCCAGCGACTGCAGCGTTGCCACTGCAAGTTGGGGCAGCTTGGGGTCAAAATCCGACAGTCGGACAGCAGCCATCAGCCTCTGCATTACCAAATCTCAATGAACAGGTCCATTTTAAGCACTTTCATACAAATATATGTTTCTAAATTTCTTTTTAATATTGTTTAAAAATTGGAGCCTGATTATGGAACTTTTCTAGGATTTTTAAAGTTTTCACTATTTCCTTAAATTGTTTGCTCACCCTGTTCTCTATTTCGTTACATTTTGATCGAACGCTTTCTTATTAAATAAACGCTCCCAAAAGATCACAGTAATAATTTTATTTTCACTCGTGAGGCATCGTTTCACTGAGTTACTTCAAGTTTTCTTTTACAGTATGACCCAAATCCTCAAACGCCTGGTCCATGGGTTGCCCCGCAGCCTCAAGAAATGAATAACGATATGATGTGGCATGATCCAAATCCAAAGCAAAAGAAAGTGCAACGTGATACTGGCACTGCGATTTGGGGTGACCCAAGTCAACAACCCGTAGTAAGTTTACGTATTTTGGAATTAATTGCTTCCCTGATGCATTTTGTTGACATATATATTTGAATGCAAGATAATTAAATGGATAATTTTCTGTAGGAAATTAAGCGTTGGAAAGATGCCGAAGTGGATGATTATTCCCACATACAAAGCGCAATGCCGAGCGGTGGTGATTGGAACATCATTGCGATATCATCGAATGGTAGCGCCGTTTGTACAGGCATCAACGGCGTTATTAGCGGTGGTCCTGGTACAGGACATGCAACAAGTTCATGTTGTTCAGCAACCGGAACAAACGTTTCAACTCCAACGACAACTGGTGGGCCATGGCCAGACGGTAAGAATGTAGTCGCTTAGATCACAGATTTTATTTGCAATTTTTTTGATATTTTAAAGTGTTTTTGGATTAGCATTTCAGTTCTTTTTTTTATACTTTAGTAACAAACAACAAACACTTTAATGAATAAGTTCCCCTTCTTCGATTAATTTACAGCTTTCCCAATATATTATATTTTCATAGGTTCCCATCCAGAGCCTTCATCATCATCGGGACACCAGGAACGGTGGCAGCAACATCCTAGTGCATGGACTGATAAGGTAATATTTATTTATTTAATGATTTTCTCATAACCTTTGCTTTGTTATCATTTCCTCCAATTGGTGAGAATTTTGTGATTTTCCAGCCTGATAATGTCAGTGATAGCCATCATCCAGCAGATTTGGTTAGTGCTTTATGATAAGTTGTTCATCACTACTATACCTTCTATTATAAAAAATCGAATTATCGCGTTGTC